CTGCACGTATTGTTGTGAAACTTTGAATTTAAGTTTACTTAAGAGTGAGGTTAAGATTCAGCACTGACGTTCGGTCTGCGCGGCCTACCATGTTTCTATATGCAAAACTTAAAAGACAACCCTCGTACACTGTGTTTCACAACTTATCCGACAAATTTTAACCACATATGCACTGTTACAAAATAAGTTGATTTCTCCAAAAAAACAATGTAATAAAAGTCCTACAGAAATCGAGATAATAAAATAATACAGTTTAACAGTTCTCTTACTTATAAAAGCTGCTCAAAATTGTTTCCATTGACTGCAATGCCAGCTTGGGCGCGTCTAAACGCGCTGTTGCATGTGACACTTCCGGGACGTGTTGGGCTAAATGTCGTGTGCTTATTCCCGGATTTTCATCCACAATATCCAAAATTTTGACTTCGGCATTTAAAACGCGTTGTGGGCGAATCCGACCCCCATCCACTCCACGTCTGGAGCGCAAATCTCTCCTATCACGAGCTCGTGAAACAATTGAATTTAATGTTTCGTGATGTGGTATGTGCCTATTCGGTAATCGGTGTGCATACAAACGAGAAGCCGCTCGCGAATTTTGCCCTGCTTCTTCGTACGCTAAAACAATATCCACTAACTCCTGGTTAGTGTACACATGTGCCATTTTTATTAATAAATAACTAAAAACATACACTAGCATAATACTTTCTCATTTAACATCACAAAAATCCTCATGCAGATCACCCACGATACAGATTAAACCTTATTTACACGTTCTTATCAGAATGAAAAAACAAAAAAATCCTATTTTGTTTTCGTCAGTTGTTTACTACAATAAATTATCAATGCGTGTTCTAATGTCACGACGATGAACGCAAAATACAGATATTCATTTTTCAATTTATTATTGAAACTCAGGATTATAATTTCTGTAGGACTTTTATTACATTTTTTTTTTAAAATCAACTTCTTTCGTAACAGTGCATATGTGGTTAAAATTTGTCGGATAAGTTGTGGACAGTTTTGCTACCTTCTTTGCAACAGTTTTTATCCCGTCTGGTCTACTAGGGTCATCTCCTCCAATAAATAATTCTACCGATATCATTTCTTTAAAAAATATAAGTGAAGAAAACGTAATTAGGGCTGCGAAAAGATTAAAGAACAAAATGACGTCTGGATGTGATGGTATTCCAAGTTTTTTCGTTAAAGATTGCACTCATGTACTAGCGAAACCGCTGGCTTCCATATTCAACCTAATTCTAAAATCAGAGACATATCCAAATGTCTTAAAGACCTCTAAAATATATCCTATTCACAAAAGTGGAGATATCTCTGATATTTCGAACTATCGCCAAATAGCAATCCTGTGGAATTTCAGCAAGTTGTTTGAGATCATCGCTTATGAAACGGTTTACTGCTCGGCCAGAGGTGCAGTCTCTATTAATCAGCATGGGTTTATGAGAGGCAGATCTACGGTCACCAACTTGGCTCCAATTACTCAGTACATTTCTGAAGTACTGGACGGTCAGGGACAAGTTGATGTCATCTACACAGATATTCAGAAGGCGTTTGGTCAAGTTGATCATTATGCACTTCTGGATAAGCTTAAAACAGTGGGTATGTCTGATGCAATGCTGTCGCTCATGAATTCATATTTGAGGGATAGAAGGTTATTTGTCGAATATGGTGGTCATAGGTCGAGTTACTATCGGGCCACGTCCGGGGTACCTCAAGGGTCAAATCTAGGTCCATTATTGTTTTTGATATTTATCAATGACTTGTCTTTTGAACTGAAGTGTTTCCATTTGTTTTTCGCTGATGACCTTAAAATCTGCACGTCAGTCAAGACAGTCGAGGATTAGGTCATGTTGCAAGATGACTTAGCTCTAATTTCGTCAAGGTGTTCACGAAACTGTCTCAGTCTGAATGTTTCGAAATGTAAAGTTATGACTTATACAAGAAAGGTTAACTATTTAATTTATGATAATTATAACATGGTCAGGTTATAGACAGATGCACCTCTTATAGAGACCTTGGAGTCATTTTTGATACCAAGCTAACGTTTACTGAGCATATACTCAATATCTCGTCGGCTGCCACTCGACTACCTGGTTTCTGTATCAGAAACTGGAAGGGTTTCTCCAATGTTGATACATTAGTGACTTTATTTTTTACTTTTGTCAGGAGCAAACTGGAGTATGCGACTCTGATCTGGTCTCCTATATACCAAAATTCTGTCGTGATCCTTGAGGTCATTCAACGTAAAGCTTTAAACTATTTTCACCTTAAATGCACAGGTTCTTATCCAGAAAGAGGTTGTGACCATAGTGCCCTATTAGAGTTATTCAATTTGGATTCACTGTCAACAAGACGAAACATATTTGCTTTGTCGTTTTTGTATGGCCTCAATCACAATAAAATTGACTCTCAAAATTTACTTGAAAAAATATGTTTCCGCGTTCTAAGGCTAGGGAGTCGACAATAAACGGCATTCTATTGTCAAGCTGGCCGTACAAATGTTAAGACAAAATCGCCAATTAAACTCATGTGCTGCGTCATGAACAGTGTAGACTGAATCTTGTGATATTTACAGTGACAGTTGTGCATCGATTACTGGACAACAAATTTTAGTTTTTTAATTGTATCTTGTGGGAAAAGTGCACTTCCTTGTTAATTTTGGGGCGCTGAATCCAAAAATGACAATGAAATAAAAAAATTAGTTGCGGTTTAGAAAAAAAACTTTTTATTTTTAAGGATATATTAAAAAAAGTAACAAGATTCATGTACTTATAAGAATCACTATATGCGCTGTCTTTTTGCTGTTCTTTTATGGATCGTTTCTGAAGCATCTCTACCAAGAGTCCAACAGTAGTTTGCAAGCATAGAAGGATTCCACTTTCCCTGGTACCTTTTTTCCATTGTTGAAGTATCCTGATGAAAATGTTCGCCGTGCTCATCAGTTACGGCTCCGCAATTGTCAGGAAAAAAGTCCAGGTGTGAGTGTAGGAAATGTATCTTAAGAGCCCATCTTTTGATACGATGACAGCATATTTTTGACAAGGGTTTTATAGTTGTCAGCTTTTCTAATTTCCAAGAAATTAGTGACCACCAGACGGAAATTATTCCAAGCAGTTTTTTCAATACCTGTTAAAGTGTTTTCAAACTGTGTATCTTTCAAAATATTTCGAATCTGTGGCCCAACAAAAATACCTTCTTTAACCTTTGCCTCACTTAGTCTTGGAAATTTCTGACGCAGGTATTGAAAAGCTGACCCATCTCTATCTAATGTCTTGACAAAGTTTTTCATTAGGCCCAACTTAATATGCAGTGGTGGTAATAAAATTTTTTTCGAATCTAATAATGGCATATGCTGTACACTTTTTTGACCTAGCTCTAGGAATTGACGAACAGGCCAGTTTTGTCTGGTGTAATGAAGTGCCTTTACCCGACTGTCCCATTCACACAAAAAACAGCAAAACTTTGTGTAGCCTAGCTGCAGCCCAAGTAAAAGTGCAACAACTTTCAAATCGCCACAAATATGCCATTGGTGCTCATCGTATTTTACGCATGTCAATAGGTACTTCATATTGTCATATGATTCTTTCATGTGAACTGCATACCCTACAGGAAGAGATGGTAAAATATTTCCAATATCCAATAGCACTGCCTTTAAACTCAATGTTGAACTGTCTATAAACAATCTCCATTCTTCTGGGTTATAGTTTATATTTAAAGCCGCCAGTAAGCCGTTAATGTTACTGCAGAAAACCAAGTTATTCTCCATATTGAAAAATGGTTCTAAGTCTTTGCGGTGTTTACGAAAAACACATACCGAAACATCGTCTTCTAACAAGTTCCACTGCTGCAGTCTTGATCCAAGTAACTCTGCCTTACATTTTGGAAGTTCTAAATCTCTTACAAGATCATTTAATTCTGACTGTGTTATTTTGTGCGGTTGGTGGCATGACGTGCTCGGTATAAAATCAGAATCTCTTGACGTTGATGGCATATCTTCTTCCTGACGAATCACTCGATCGCCATGATCTGATTTGTTTTCTGATTCGCAAGTGTAGGATTCTGGGGGTTTTGGAATAGGATTTTCGTCACTGTGAGGCACAAGTCTCATCGCAGATGGTATGTTTGGGTAGTTAATATCCGATTTTTTTTTCTTGGACATACCTGTGGCTTGTCCAACAGAAGGTACCATGCAAAAGTAACAATCATTAATATGATTTGTAGGCTCTCTCCAAACCATTGGGACAGCAAAGCGCATAGACCGTTTTTTGCCATTTAACCAGCTCCTCAGACTTGAAGCACATGTATTACAGCAGATGTGGGGTGCCCACTGTTTGTCTTGATCACCTAGTTTACAACCGAAATAAAGCTGATATGCCTTTGTTATTAGTGGAGTAATAGACCGTCTCTGAGACGCAAAAGTCACATCACCACACGCGTAACAAAACTGATCTGGATTGTTTACACACCTTCGAGACATCTTGCATGAACGCTGTCAGCCAACTGAGGAAAAAATGGCTAATATAAAACAATATAATGTACACGTATGTATAACGTAACACAATCATGCCGATTACATCATCTTTCCTTGCCGAATATAAAAATGTAGCACGTGCATTCTTGTGAATTACAGTATATTAACACTGTCACAGCAGGAACACATATAATTACCGTATCTCTAAAATTTGAACTAATACTGAAAAAATAAGTTTCATTCCGGTTTTAGCACATTAAAAATAGTAATATATTGTTGATTTTATTTAGGATATTTTATGGCTGTTGATCAGTGTTATTAACTGCTAGAGATCATCCAATCTTATTTAGAATGTGTGATACTATAGATTTAAGTCCAAGAACCATCTTTAATTGTTATTTTTTTTAGCGTTTCCTGTAATTGGGTTTCACCTGTTGGAAATAAATAAATAAATAAATAAATAACACCCTTTATTGATGCGAGGAAAATACTTGATCCCATTTTTTGTTTGTTCCAGATCTCAACATGAGGCTGTACTTAGTGGCAGCGACGTTGTGCGTACTTGCCTTACACTGCCGAGCTAACCCGATAACCATCACCGCAGACTCGGACAAAACTGAGATCTCTAAAGATGCCCGAAAAGATGAGCCTTTAGCTCAGCAGGCTGCTCAAGGCACGCCTCAGCACGCTGAGCAAAAGCCTGAGGTTAGCGACAGTGATAAACCAGCTCATCAAGACGGCCAAACTGAAAAAAGCGACGCTTCGAAACAAGAAGAGGAGAAAAATGAGGTTCCTGTAGCTAAGCCAGCTGAGGAAAAGAAAACTGAAGAGAAGAAATTAGATGAGAACAAGAGGAAACAGCGAAAGGTATCTACCTATTCATATGTAAGAAAAATCTAGAAATGTTTCCATCCTCTTGCTTGTAAGTTAAGGCTTTGCAACTAGATAATTTTGCTGAACAATAAATGTGGAAATACTCCTGGATCATCAAAGGCTCATCACTCAAATCTAAGATATGTTTTGTTACCCAGAAGTTTTTGATAACACAAAACTGCATTTTTGACACGTATTAAAGTTATTTGTGGTCTTCGATGGTCACTCGCAATAAGGTGGTATTGTGAAACTGATACAAAAAATAGTTTTCCTACGTTCCAAAGGCGTAAGCCATATCTATAATGGCAGTACAGTCATAAGCCACAAATTTATTTATTCGCCGCAGACTGACTTGGAGTGACTATAAGGACTGTTACCAGTCGGAGGATAGTGTATGTGCTTCACACTGTCAATTGAACTAAATCCACCTTTGAGCTGAGGAATATCTTGGTTGTTCAAAACCGTTGTTTAGAAATCGTGGAAACATAGTTCACGCTTTACGATGGAAAGGTGGTTTTTATTATATTAAAACCGCACAGCTTTAGGGAGAGAGGTTTATTGGTCTTGGTCTTGTCGCTACATAATAACCTCTCAATCTCAAGTTGACTTTAGCTTTTCATTCAGCCACGAAGGGCCTTGTCTGATAAAACAACCTTCAATGGACAGACAACATCATTAACTATCAAAATCTCTTAGATAGGACATTTTTTCAGCATATACTTCATTGTCTCCATGCAGCGTGAAAAGAAATGCTGAGATGTAACCAGTGAAATGCTGTTCGAAATTATTATAGAAACCAAGGACTGCAAAAGAAATCATATGGTGTTGTCATGTCCAGAACACAAAAATATCTTCCTATTTGTAGGTTGTAGACGATTTTCAGTCTTCGCTCCGATATTGTATATAACTCTTTAAGGATTCTTCCACCGTTGAGTCTTCTTATCTCAGGCATAGAGTTTTGAACTAAAAATTCCTCCAAAGCTAACTTTGTCAGCGTTTCTGGATAAATGTTGACTATTGTCCACTCTGGCCGATCAGTATTTATTAGGTCGTTTTACGAAAAGGTCAATAAGGGCTTCCTTCAGGTATTGGTTGCCTCGTTCCATTTTTGACTATCAGATGGTGAACAGAGTCGCAACAAAACTATCAGCGCTGAATTTTTAGTACGGTCAAAGTCTGTAGCTTTTGTGTATATTGTTTGAGGATGGAAGTCCCCAAAAAACTTTTGTGATATCGTTGCCGTAAACGAAGTGTCTGTTGCTTGCTCAGATGGGTCAGTTGGCCAGAACCTGTAATAGAAAAGGATTCTGCTCTTTAGGGTAGAGATGTTTGACTTGTGGGGTGTGGTCATCAAGTCTGAAGGATAATGTTACAGTTCCTTTTTATATATAAAGTAAATTATTACAACGTTTTTCTTATTTAGAATAATAATTTTATAGCAGTGCTTAAAAACATCGAATTTCATTTTTATAACAATCCACTCTTCTTGGTCTAAGCATTTTGTGGAAGAAAATCGTGCTCTACTCTCCATCTCGTTGGAGGTCATTTTTTATAGTTTCTGTTGACCGTAAATACGAGAGCTGAAGGTAACTCGGTGCTTTTTCCGGTGCGCTGGTGTATGAATTCAACGGCCCACTATCCGATTTTGTGAAATAGTTTCACACGCAGTGTTGCGATTTTATAGGGTGGTGGAGATTTTAATGGAAATCTTAGTGATTTTTTTTGTCGGAGGTCTTTTCCTCACCCTCTTGGGGATTTAGACGTAGACATGACTACGCCTGTGAGGAGCAGTTCCCCAATTCTGTGAACCCTCATTGTTCGAGGGTTCTACCTTCGGGTTCTACCTGCAAACTGTAACCTCAAGGTATTCATGTCATTTTACTTTAATTTCCTATTTTTCTGGAACTGACAGATATCTAAGTGACAGAACATACTATTTGCATAATTTTGAACTTTGATTAAATGTACATCAGTCCATAGGTTATGTTTTTCCTGAAACTTGTGCATCGTTTCAATAAAAGCTTTATAAGTTCTGAAATCATGTTTCTTGCTTAATTTCTATTGAAATTCTGCAATAGGTTTACATTTTGAGAAACAAACATTTGGTGATGACATAATCGAAAAAATATAACGCATTTTCGTGAAATAAGTTCGTTTTTGAAAATACTGTAACTTGATGCCCTACTAAAAAAGAAGTTGTGCTGTAAGGGCAATTTAAAAGTTGTTTTATAAACAAGTAATTCAAGTGACAGATCGGTTTTTTCTCTATACTCATAGTTGTTTAACAATATGATAATATACTAAGTGACATATAAATCCGAACACCCAGTTTAAATGGTTTTATTTTAATAAAAGTTGGTGAATGTATTTATCTTACTGTAAATAACAAGTGAAAAAATTTTCAGCCTTATCAGTTGGACATTCCGGTTTTTATACTGCTTTTTTTAATTCACTAACGCTCTAAAAATGAATATTTCAGCCGCAGTAAAGAATCAACGTTGGCGGATTTTGGTTCTTGACATCCTTTACGATCGGTTACGATGCCTAGAGTACGGAGACCTGTACGATTTCAACAACTTAGTGAGTTTGATAGGGGCCGTATAGTGGGACTTCGGGAAGCTGGACTTTATTTTCGGGCAATTGCGGTTAGAGTGCAAAGAAGTGTAGACACTGTGGTTAGGTGTTGTCAGGCATGGCTTCAAGAAGGCCGTACGCAAAGAGCAAGGAGCACTGGACGCCGCCGTCGAACAACAGACCGTGAAGATCGCTGCCTAAGATTATTGGCTTTAAGGGACCGTTTCTCCACTACCAGGTCCATTGCAAATGAACGGTTTGCAGAACACGGAAGACCTATTGGCATGCGAAGTGTTTACCGACGAATGAGAAGTTTTGGCTTGTTTTCATATCGGCCACACTGGGTCCTCCCTTTAACTCGAGAACACCGACGTAATCGCCTTGAGTGGTGCAGACAACGGTCACTCTGGGATCAGGAATGGAACAGTATTGTCTTTAGTGACGAGTCTCGATTTTGTTTAGGCATGCACGATGGTCGTGCCAGGGTTAGAAGGCGACGTGGTGAAAGGAGGAATCCACAGTTTTTTGTTGAAAGACATGTTCATCACACTGTTGGAGTTATGGTTTGGGGTGCTATAGCTTATGGTTCCAGGTCACCTTTAATCTTCATCAGAGGTAACATGAACGCGCAGCGTTATATCCCCGAAGTTCTAGAACCCCATCTTTTACCCTATCTTGACACCCTGGCAGATCCAACTTTCCAACAAGATACTGCCCGACCACATGTTGCAAGAGTCACAATAGACTTCTTTCAACATAATGATGTCACATTGTTACCATGGCCACCAAGATCTCCCGACTTATCCCCAATTGAGCACGTGTGGGATATAATGGGTAGGAGATTGCTCAATTTGCAACGTCCTCCTCAGACTCTAGAAGCACTTCGAGAGCAGTTGGTGGTTGCCTGGAATGAGATACCACAGGAGGACATTGACCACCTGATCAGAAGCATCCTAGGCACGTTGGAGAATGCGTAGCACATCAGGGTGCATCCACACATTATTAAAGGTCAAAGGGCTTTAAAGCAGTGCAATCATTTTGAAATTTTTATCATTTACTTATTATGCTTCATTAAGTACTTACTTACTTACTATACAAAATTTTATTAAAATAAAACCATTTAAACTGGGTGTTCGGATTTATATGTCACTTAGTATAGATGAGAAACATTCAAGACATTCAACAAATACAAATTGAAGATATGTATATTTCCCATCTCTCGCAATAAAAACAAACACGAAAGATCCAACACTTTTATTTGTAACAGAATTACTCCCACAAAAAATGTCTAATGCTGATTGGTCAACAGATAGGATTTAGTAGTCGTGTGACGAATGGGTGGGTCTTCGGTAGTTTTTTGTGGCTCACAATATATTATTTCTTATTTGGAGTAACACTTGCTTATTAAAGGTTGAGATGGGATTCTCAAAATATTTACGAGCAGACTATGGTTCAACCATTTCGTGCGATAGGGTCTATAGTTCTCCCTAGCAGTTCTGTGGAAAATATAAGTAAAGTAGGTTGACTCAATGAGCCGTACTCATAAAACAAAGGATATTCTTGTACTCACAAATTTTGAAGGAAATCTACCAGTTGGTATTTATAATAATTTGAAGTAAATGCTTTTGCTTTTTGAGTATAAGCCGTTATTGTCTATAGTTTCCTTATCACTTGAGAATGACGTGCTTATTAATTTGATAAAAAACTGTATCCAGTAAAAATACGGAACGGTCTGTGTAAGCTCTGGAGTTCAACTGACAGTGATGCTGAGTGAACGAACTCCCACGTCAACTACAAGCTGGAACAAGTCAGGACATGTTGCTCAATATACGAATACCAGTCAACCTTTTACTTCTTCTTGGAGGATATCCTCGCGAGTATTGGGTAATCATTATGAATATTTAAACAAGGATATGCTTAGACTTCTACCTTTTTCTTCGAAGCAAGACCTCATACTTTCACCTTATGCTTCTGAGGATACGCTTCTATTTTATGAATACGGCTCATTACGCTCCATCGTGCATCAATCGCAATTTTGATAACTTGTACATAAGAACCACGAATATTGCCGACGTTTCGGCTGTCCTTAGAGAAATCAATTTTGCGGTAAATTGACTCAGTGCTTACCAGGTTCTCAGGTTTTTGCAGCTGCTTTCAACTGACTAGTAGATCAATACAAGTTAATTACACATTTGGGTTTCATGTTATCAAAAAGTTTCGGCATTCTGAAAAAGTGTTATAAGTCCAAGTAAACAGGAATATAAAAAAAAAGTCGAGACCAAATGTTCGCTTTAATGCCGTTTATGAATGACATGACGCAGATCTTAAAGTATACACAGCCATTTCGTATAAAAATAATGACGGTAAAGTTAAAACCTTGAGACGCTCAAAAATATTCTCACAAGAATTCCTAGTACTGACATCTAACCACTGTTTTCTGGGCCAAAAATACTTACCTCAGTCGTGTCTCAACTTGAGCATAGCTAACAGAAACTATCTGTGCTTTCGAAAGATCTGATTGGGCGTTTATCTTTGAAATAATATATACTCATTGGTCTTCAAGATTTAAACCTGTATCTAGATACAAGCCCAATAACTTCACTTGCGTGTCAAGGGATATTTCTTGAGCCATTTAAAGCGATATTTAATGCCATATGTTTCTTCTGAATATTATGAAATTGGACAGCTGATGATCTTTCATAATTTATTATTCTCTAAAAAAGACCTTGTCCAATGATATAGTCCACTTCTTGTCCTTAAGAGTTCAATTCGTGTTGTTCAGCACCGTTCTGTTCTGTTCAAAGATCAAAGGGAGACAGTCGGAGGATGAAGAAGACGATGACGATGACGACGACCTTGACATCGGCGTAGGAGATGACGACGACGATGATGATGACGACAGTCCAGCTGATGACGACGACGACGATGAGGATTACTTCGAGAGGCTGTTCGATGACATCCTTGGAGGTGAGTACTATTTTTTTGTAGTTTTAATATGTGACCGTGTCCACTGAGATATTTTCTCAGACTCTCTTCTCGAAACTCAACTTTAATGAATTTGAATTTAAAACAAACCGTAAATAAAGAGAAATGTTTTTTAATGGTTGTTTGATATACATATAGAAGAATATAATCGTTGTTCAAGAGAAGGCATATTCATGTAGAGAAAAGTATCAGTAAAACTATAGTCCTCTCTAATGAAACCAATTTTATATCCAGATATTCTCAAAAAAAATTTCTGCAGATGCTCTAATTGGTTGATGATCGGATGGAACAATACCCAAAAAGCGAACGAATCAACGAACAATACAAAAATTTGGAAAGAAAAAAGTTATAAACCAACACACTGATGATTTATGTAACCCAACATCTTATAGGCACTCATAATTGTTTTTTTATGATAATTTGAGTAAAAAGTAACTCCCAAGTTTGTTGCTATAACAATAGGTAATAGGAGAACGGGACCGACTAAATTTAATTTTGGAAAATTTAAAAGTGAAACATTCACACCACATCAGTCAGAAATGTAGTCCAGGTTCCTTTGCAATAATTCAGCATCATCTTTGTTCTCAATAACTATAAAAATCTTAACATCATCTGTAAGTTAATAAATTTCACTGCACATTAAACTCAAAAGGTGGCATGTGATATTCCTGACAATAATACAGGGTGTCCGCAAAGTTGGGGTTTTCCTTTACACGACGTGTAGATCTTGGAAACATAAGCAATTTTTCTTAGTACCATATACAACAATGTCTTAACGGCGCTCTCACAGTCAAGCAGAGTTTCTGAGGGGCATCGGGGGGGTGATAGGGAAGCTCTAGTAGGACGGCGTTGTGACAAGGCAAGCGCTCTACGTTAGAAAAGGATAGTAATACGCAGAGGTGTGCTGTTCGCGTGCCTTGTTGAATTTGCATATTGCACAGAGTCGGATTTGATTTGGATATACGATCTAGCGTACGACTGTTTCCCTATTTTGGCGCATAGTATACTCAGCCCTCATTACTCTTATTACCGTTATTGTATTGTTGTATTATCGTTTTGTTATTGTTATGTTGTTATTGTTGTGTTGTTATTGTTGAGTGTCTTTCTTATCAAGGCATCAAAAATGAACAATAAGAGAAATAAACGTGGCGTCTCGAAGAAGCCGCATTTAAATACGCACAGGAAAAAAAAAACGTTTTCCAGATAGAAAGGTAGGTACCAAAACAATTATGAATTTTAGCATTAATTTTGCCAATAAATTAGACTATACGTAGTTACTATTATAACTATATTTTATATGTTATTTTAGCTTAAAAATGACAGCAAGGTTTCGCATATGATTTCTCTAACAGAGACAGATGGCATGGATCTTCAAATTCAGGTGTGTATACCCTTTTTTTTTAGATTTGCACCAGAGGCTGATATCATTTCTGGCAATTCTGATTAAAAATGCAGTAAGTTTACTTCATGACGTCGATAATAGTATTGTAGAGCAGTTTAACTCAATCATAGCTAAATTCATTGGGGGTAAACGGATTAATTATTGCAAGAAGAGATCCTACCAAGGAAGATGTGCTGCAGCCGTAGTGAGCCACAATACACAGCGACCTGTTTGTGTGATCCAAAAGCGGCTACTCCCTAGTTTCAGTCCAACCTCTTTGATTGCTAAAGTTGAAGAAAGGAGAGCGCACAAAAATCTGAAAAGGAAGCTGAAACCAAGGAAAATTAAAATCAGAGATACTGATACTAAAGAGAATGCATCCTATGGGGAATTCTGTGGGAAGCCTGACATGAGCAACGAAGATATAGAGGCTGCCAAGGTAGAATTCTTGAAAAAACTTGCAAAAACCGACTCCAAAATTTCCCAGATCGAGCAAGCCACAAAATCTCAGGATTGCAATTTGTGGCGTCTTCATCGAAGAATGAGGTTGACTGCGTCTCGGTTTGGTGAGGTTTGTAGAAGAAGACATACAACAAGTTGCAGAGCTCTAGTAAACGCCATAATATACCCAACCGAATTCTTTAGCAATGCATGTGACTATGGAAAAAAGCATGAAAGCGTGGCAAAGGCAAAAATGGAGAAATCATATTCGCAATCAGAAGTACAATCTTGCGGGTTGTTTATTGATAGGACCCATCCATTTCTGGTAGCATCGCCAGATGGTTTGATAGGCGAAAAAGGTCTGCTAGAAATTAAATGTCCACGGTCGGCTAGAGAAATGACCCCTGAAGAGGGCATTCTGAACAAAAAAATTACGTTTTGGATAAACGATGAAATAAATAGAAAACATAAGTGGTATTACCAAATTCAAGGGCAGCTACACGTTGCACAAAGAGAGTACTGTGTGCTTGGTGTTTGGACCCCGTATGGTTTGAAAATAGACGGCATTCAAAAGGATGACGTTTTCTGGAAAAATGAAATGGAAGAGAAATTGAAATTCTTCTACATGAACTGCTTGCTCCCAGAACTGGTCGATCCCAGGAAAAGCAGAAATATGCCAATCCGCGATCCCGATGTGATCTTGAAGGCACAAGAGAACCGTTTGAACAAGAAAAAGAGTTCTTGAGAATTGGCTATTTTTGCTGTACTCGGGTACCAAAATGGAAGAGATTAGCATATTACATTGTACGCCGTTACTAACCCCTTCGTGTCGGCAAATGCGGTGTGCAGATCTCGGTTTAGCAGCGATGTGCGAGATGTTATGCTAATCTCTTCCATTTTGGTACTAGTACTAGATGTTCACTATTTATTGTAAATTATGTATATGTTGTTTATTTAAATAAAAGTCAATCGTCAGGCTCAATAGCACGTAGCATCGGCTAGCTTTATCTAGTCTGTTAGATGGCGAATATTGGAATGTCACATTGACACGTTAAGCGCCACAGTAGAATCTGAAAATCCAGTCCACTGGGCCAAACTGTTATTATTGTCAAATTAGCTTGTTTTAAGTTTCGGTTTAATATATTGACTTGACTTTTTTCTCAAATCCTATGATTTTTCCCCTTTTTTGATTTTTTTTCTGAGGTACTAGTTATATGTCGCGTGGCCCACAGACCAGTCGGGTCGCGTGGCACATAAGTCGCGTCGCGTTTTTTGCAAGTCAAGACTTGCTTCATGTCGCGCATTGAGCACTGTTTCCTGTCATTTATTATTGAAGCGTTGTTGGTATTGTACGTCATCTTGTCCAAATTGCTTTACTGTTTATAAATTATTGAATACCAAATTTGTGATGTCGCATTACGAAGCGGAGCGAAAAAGGCTTGAACAATTGTGTAATGAAATACTATCGGATGAAGAGAGTGACAGTACTGAGTTATGTGGGGATGTATACTTATCTGATGCGTATTCTCCAAGTGGTAGTGAATCAGATAGTAGTTGTAGTAATTCTATGTTTATCTGTATTACTGTTTATTTATACCGGTATTTTGTTTATTCCTGCATAAGACTTTGTCAATCTGTTTAGTTTATAAGAGTTCCTCCATATTTGTGTTCGTTAGAATATCGACATTTACCATAACTTACTGATTTGCTGTGAAATTACTTTGTTCATTTTTGAATGAGAATGTCTGACTATTTTATAAGATTTGCTTTTTGTTTTAGATTTGTAGAATATCCTCTTTTTGTAAAACTCTATAAACAACGTGTTTTTTAATGTTTTCATTTCCAATTCAGTATAATTTGGTCCCTCAGGCCACGGACTCTTGGTTCCCGTAAGAAAATCACATCAGCATGACACACGTCTTACGTTACGCGGCCAAATATAACTGCCAGCAGTGAGACATATAATGTGTGTCACGAGGCCCAAAGCGCCAAATGAGGTGCGACACACGCATTATATCTCATGACGCTTATCGTGTTAAGCTTATTTTACGATACTCCATAAGGTTAAAGCTAAACAGCAAGTGACATTTTATTTGTGTTAAATGCGTTCACTATAATTATTATTTTTAACTAAAAAGATTACCGCCTCCAATGACCCTGGAACCACCTGGAAACTTTTGGTCACAAAGTTCTGTATTTTACCACACATGTCAAGTCTTTTCATTTGATATGTAAATTGGGGGTTTTGTACAAAAATATGTAACTCGCGATTTCGAAACGGCGGCAATCTTGGAATCAAATTTTTAGTGAAGTACTGTATTGTACAAGGCGACGACTCTTATTTGAGATATTAGCAAGTATGTTATCCGCCATTTTGTAACGGCCGCCATCTTGATTTGAAACTGTTTTCGTATTACTGTTTTGTACAAGTGCTTCCATTTGATATCCATATTGGGGTGATTGAACAAAAATGATTTTTTGTGGTATCACCTCTGAAGCATGGCCTATTGTATAAAAAGAAATGATCAAAATCGATTAAAAATGTCCCCTCTTTCATTGAAATCTATTAAAAGTATCACTTACTGGTCCGATGTTTATCTCGAACGACCGACGTTAAAACTGCTACTGTTTAACTTGGGACAACAAATTATCTGAATACGTCCTTTCTTAGTCCGTACACACCGCCGCGTTGCTTCGACTGGCAGCACGAGATAGTGGATAAAATTCGTGTAAAAGCCTAATTGCAGAGGTTTTCGCGCTTCAAAATTGACCCTTCATTTTTGAATATTTTTCAATGAAATTTTCACAGTGCACTAAAAACAAGACTCCACAGGGTGCTATAGAGCCACTTTTTCGTTTTTTCCTCTGGGTTATTTTTAAAAAAATCCAGAAGTCGAACAACAATTATGCTGCACTTCCACCCACCATAACTCCTGAAAAAAAATTTTTTTAGAAAAGTGGCTCTATAGCACCCTGGACAATTGTCTTCTGAAACTACTGTATAAATTTTATTCAAATATATAGAAAAATGGAGCGTCAATTCCGAAGCAGCTAAACCCTTGTAAATGGCCTGAAACTCACTGCGTCGGAGCCGCCTTAAGGGAACCGAGATAAAGGGCTCTGCAACATCAAAAATATCTTAATACCGTCCTGTAGCCGCGACCCGGGACATCACAGATTGGTACAAGGTCTCAACCCGACGGCAGAACTGGGTCGGGGTCAGTGTGTCAGGTCAGTATGCAACCTTCAACCGATGGTTACGGTCACGCATGTAGAGGTAATCGCGTAGACGAGAATCCCTCAACAAGCACTAGAGACGTGGCTAGAGAAGTGCAAGTATCAAAAACTAAAGTATGGCAAACGCTGCGTGAAGAGGGGCTGTATCCGTTTCACGTCCAACGTGTACAAGCCCTTCAACCTGACGATTTTCCAGCAAGAGTGCGGTTTTGTGAGTGGTTGTTGCATCAACATGACAATAATCCGGACTTTTTGAAGTGCATATTGGTGACAGACGAATCTACGTTCACGCGTAATGGGGTGAATAACTTTCGCAACACTCATGTTTGGTCAGTAGAAAATCCGCACGCAATTACGCAACATTTTGCCTTCATTGTTAGAAGATGTGCCATTAAGTGTAAGACAATCAATGTGGTTTCTGCGTCTGCTCGGTAGCGCTTCAGCTGATTTCATTTTCTGTTGGAGCGGTATGATTTCGGGCAGAGACGTACTTAGCCCTTCTCGTCAACTGGAGAGTGAGTACTTTTTCCTTTATTTTTTTTTTACTTGGTCGCCCTCGTTTCACTACACATTACCTTTGTTATTTCAAGGGTAGTTGTTTCTGAAAGGGAAAACCCCAACTTTGCGGACACCCTGTATATTTCAGAAGCAAATTTCATCCGTCAAGACATTTGGCACTGACAACAAACGTCCACACTTCTTCATTTATAATAGTAACGAAGTAGGTAGTAATCAATCTTTTTCCTTACTTTTGCAGGAGGTGATGACGATGACGACTACGACGATGACGAATCCCCCTCAACAGGCTCCGAACCAGCTGTGGCTGAACAACCCGCCGTCTCATCCGCCGAAACCGCCTCCGTATCCGAACTCACACCTTCAGAAGAACTAGATGCCCAGGAAGCAGCAGAAGGTAGGTACTATAGTCAAGTACCAAAATGGAAGAGACAGGCACACGTCATAGTACGCCATTGGTAACGTAGTGCGTTACCAGTGGCGTACAATGTATTACACTACTCTCTTAAGTATGGATACATCAAAATATGTTAGGATCATGAAATGGTGATTTTGAAGGTCAAGGTAGTTTTCTTACATGGAAGCCCCTGTTTTTGACGTCGAAGATGTAAAAAGCAGCTAACTTTAAGATCAAATATGTCCATGACCCTGAATCTAATCTTCAAGGTCATTTTGAGGACGAATGTATTTTTTAACGGAATACTGCTTGCTGTCAGAACAATAATTCCACGTACCGCTAAATACTCGAACATCTTAGAACCTTTAAGGTCACGTCAAGGTCACATTTAGGTAGTTCATTTTAAGCGTTACTATTTTGCTAGGTATGTTAAATGTTTTTTGTATGTGCTCAAATGACCGTGAAGGTCACAGTCAAGGTCATGCACAGGAACTTTGTTGATCGTAAGATTTTCCACTCCTTTTATTGTCAAAACTACGGGTTTCTATCCAAGAAAACTGTATTGACCTTCAAATGATCTTCAAGGAAATAATCAAAGTTAAGTTCGAGGTCACTGTTAGATGATCCTTTTTAAACCTTACAACTTTGTTACACATGTTTTTCGAGATGTTTGGTCTTTTTCATACTTTCTGGATACTCTCAAATACTCATAAAGGTCATGACCAAGGTCACCTCTAGATCATGCCTTTTCAGCCTTGCAATTTTGCTCTTTAGGCGATATATTTTTTCTCTGCATACTTTTTGGACGCCCTAAAATGACCTTTAAGGTCACGGTCAAGGTCATGGACAGAGACGTACATGAACGTAAAATTTTCCGTTACTTGTGTTGTCAAAAATATCGGTTTCTATTCAACAAAACTGTCTTGACCTCAAATGACCTTCAAGGTAATAATCAACGGTATGTTCAAACCTGACAAGTTTTTGCTGGATACTCTCAAATAACCATGAAGGTCATGATCAAGGTCATCACCAGATGATCCCTTTTCAGCCTTGCAATGTTACTCTTTAGGTTGTATGATTTTTGATACATAGATTTTTAGACGTCCTAAAATAAGCTTAAATGTCACAGTCAAGGACATGGACAGGAACTTGAATATAAAATTTTCCGCTACTTCTGTTGCCAAAAATATGGGTTTCTATCAAAGGAAACTGTATCGACCTGCAAATGACTTTGAAAGTAATCAAGGTTATGTTCAAGGTCAGCCTTTTCGAACAACTTTATTACACAACATTTTCTTCATGAAACCTACTTTTCAAGATACTTTGTCCTTCTTCTACTTTCTGTACACTCTTAAATACTCATGAAGGTCATGGACAAGGTCGTGTGCAAAGACATATTTCAATGTATAAAATAAAAGGTTTATCTAATGATGCACTTGAGCGTGACCTTGAGGATGACCTTCAAGCTCATTTGAAGGTCAAGACGGTTTTCTTAAACGGATACTCCTATTTTTGACACTGGAAATGAAAATAACAAGAGACTTCATGTCCAAGTACTTCCGTGATGATGAAATGACGTTCGTCAACGTATTCCACGTCCGCCTTATTCCAGGTGTCGCGTCCGCTGGTGAGGTCGTCCAAGACAGCGCGGTCGCCGCCACCAACGACCTCCAGGAGGCAGAGAGCGCGCCTCAAGGTCAGGCCATTGAGAATTCGGTAGAGAACAGTGTAGTCACCCCTGCAGCTGCTGAGGTTAACGATGAGGAAGATGACGATGACGATGAAGACGATGACGGTAACTGATTTGGGTGGGATGCTGGGGCGTCTATCTGTAGTTTGCTTGCACGATAGTTCAGTATTTTCAGGATATCTCACACGGACATGATTACAATTCATTCATTTGTAGAACTTTTGAATAAGGATCCGGCTCGAACTACCATCGAATACTGAAATCGTAGTCTTTCGAAGCGAATATTGAAAAATCGGAATTTTGTTTAAAATTGACAAATATGTGACAAGAAGAAATCAAGCAAAGCTTGGAAATAAAGTTAAATTTTACCACCGATTTTCAGAAGGTACCTTCGTGGTATCCTAAAGATAACAACATAATTCTTCGTAAAAAATTAACTGCAGCAATACCCAGAAACCAGATTAGAGATACTGAACTATTTGAGCAAAAGTGAATTATTTTTACATATTCTGCTTAAACTAATGTGTAAACGGGGAACAATAGTTTATTTTTATTATTTTTGTTGAATTAGTACTCTCAAAAATTAGTGCAGCATTACACTTGTTATAAAGTTGTTTTTCCAAAAGTTAGTTTCGATTTGAAATAATTAGAATCAGCTAAAGGTCTACAATTTTGACATTTCACTTCATAAATTGAGTATGTTTAATACTTTGTCCTACCTATGAATACTCAATTCTGATATTCTGAGGGGAATCAACTTATCAAAGTTATGTCAATCAAAATTACCAAGACAAAGTAGCGGGATTCAGTGTTTTTATTACTCCAAAAATACCCCGCCTAGCAAGCAATCCAAGCTACGTGATCTAGTAGGACATTTAAGTCAATAGAAGATAATCATATAGGTTTTCCCAGAATTATTCTAGTTCTACCATTGATTAATGTATTCTGTTTTAAGATCATCGTCTTTATCAGAATAAAACCAACAGAAGATATCCTATTGCCTTTTCTGACAGTTATTGGCATTCATTCACATAAAATAAGACGATCTAGGATACAAAATAATATTATCAGCATATTTAAAGACTTGCCACTGCGAAAACTGAGATTCTGCATTTTTTCCAAATTACCGATACGAAATTATCATACCACTTTACTTGAATAACAATAATCTTATGTCAACGAACATAACATACTAGATCACATAACCTGGATAGGTAATAACGGCCAAAATTCACCAGATGACGCCCTGGCAGGCATCGCCGACGAGGAAGACGACGACGACGAAGAAGCCGAAGATGACGATGACGAAGACGACGAAGACGACGACGATGACCTGAGTGACGTCATCTCGGCCAGGAAAAGTAGGAGCAGGAACAGCAGGAAAATCAAACACAGTAAGAGGGCTAAAAAGGCTACGGTCAAAAAGGCCAATAGGCGTGTGTGAATTAGGTGGTTCTTGCTAACGGTGATGTGTAGTTTCGATGGTTGTCGAGGTGGAGGGTTAGATAGTAGAGGTTGGTGGTAGACGAGTGAAGCTGAGGTAGCGCTTGGCTTCGATAATGGTTTTCCTTCTGCATTTGGAGTCTTAAAAGCGGTTTAAAAAGTAAGTAGAATTCAAAAATACAGTTATTTCTACATTTGCTTCGAAATTTTTCCAAACGCGAGATTATTTTCAAGAATGTCCATCGCCTTGTATCTACAAAATAAGCAAAACACGTCAAAGATTAAAATAAAATTATACCCAGCCTTAAGAGAATAGTAAGCAAATTTATTGATAAACAAAAAACTCAGAATTTTGATATTCGTATCAATAACATCACAATACCATGAATCATTTTTAACAAAGTTGTAGAGAATAGAATAGATTTTAAGGAGTGTAAATTCTAGTCACCTCTTTGAAGGTAGGTACGTTTTTATATAGTTTAAATTCCTGTATTCCAGTTTCATCAGAAGCTTAGCAGCAACACTCAGTTGCCATGGTAACCTCCACCATCGCACTCTCGATTTAGACAACCATTTTAGCTGGATTGTTGATTTTCTTTCGACCATAAATTGTACAAAGTTTCAAACAAAGACTAGAAGGAACAGTGGTAATTTTTGTTATATTATTAAATTTTTGACCCTAGGCTTCGTGTAGCTGTTTTTTATTTGAAGTATCCATCAATTTTTATTTAATATTTGATATTATGTATTTTTTATATCGATCAACCTGATATAACAGTTCAATTTCCTACTAAAAGAGTAACGTTAGAATCACAATTTTTTTCAGAAACACACGAGCTTAGGATATTGTTTGCCAGAATACCACAGAAAAAAGGTATCAAAATGCTTGTTCAAATAAGAATTCAACATAATTATCTTTGAAATCAACTTTTGTATATCGAAAAAATGCAAGAATTGTAATCTTAATTTTTGATTTGAGGAAAGACCTGTTAGAACTCTTTCACGAACATATTTAACTGCAATATCAGATTGCTGGTAATAGAAAATACGACTCTTAGCATCTATTGTATTCACTTCTATGAAGTTGTTTGCTAACGAGTCTTGGATATGGCCAGTACCGTACTTTTTGAAGAATATGGTTTTGTAGAACAGCTGGTTCTTTATGTTGAAACTAAAACAGTTCACACTATTCACCTGCTGAATAAAAACAAAGGTTGATTCAAACGGTAACGACGAATTTAAATTCTAAGCTTGTAATAAAATATTTCAATAGGCCTTGGAATGCATTGTATATATGTATAGCTGCATTCCCGTTATACAATTCAAATATGGCGATGCGAGTCGACCAGTATTTGCACTAGAAACCTGCATACCTCAAGCATTTTGGCACCGATACTTCTACGTCAGTAGTATACTTATTTATTTCTGCCTATTTATTTATTTATTAAAAAAGATCCTTATTTGCATTACTCTAGGTACATGTCACATGTTTCGTGACTAAATCAGGATGTTATGAGGAAATTATTTATTTTTGATCTGTCTGACTGTACCAAATTTTGGATGCCCAAATAGAAGAATTTTATGAAGAAGATGTGTTTTATTTACGATGCTCCAGCACCCGATGTTAACAGAAAATTAACAACTCGTGACATTTATCTAGCTAATGCATCATCTTTGAAGAGCTAGTTCGAGTTCGTTATAGGCCAGTGAACATGGAAATTTAGCATTCACCTCACAAAGTCAAAAATGCTGAAACAATAATTTGTTATCTAATTTGACTGGCCTACTTAAAACTCGAATATGCTCTTATCCATTAACTAACTGCATGTTTTTATCATCTGTGTTTTAGTGTACGCTTTCTGCTTTGCCTGTATCTGTAAGCACCTGAACTTTATTTTTTCATTAGATTATCAATATATAGTTTTCCGAAAAATATACTAAGTGACATATAAATCCGAACACCCAGTTTAACTGGTTTTATTTTAATAAAAGTTGGTGAATGTATTTATCTTACTGTAAATAACAAGTGAAAAAATTTTCAGCCTTATCAGTTGGACATTCCGGTTTTTATACTGCTTTTTTTTAATTCACTAACGGTCTAAAAATGAATATTTAAGCCGCAGTAAAGAATCAACGTTGGCGATTTTTGGTTCTTGACATCCCTTACGATCGGTTACGATGCCTAGAGTACGGAGACCTGTACGATTTCGTCAACTTAGTGAGTTTGATAGGGGCCGTATAGTGGGACTTCGGGAAGCTGGACTTTCTTTTCGGGCAATTGCAGTTAGAGTGCAAAGAAGTGTAGACACTGTGGTTAGGTGTTGTCAGGCATGGCTTCGAGAAGGCCGTACGCAAAGAGCAAGGGGCACTGGACGCCGCCGTAGAACAACAGACCGTGAAGATCGCCGCCTAAGATTATTGGCCTTAGGGGATCGTTTCTCCACTACCAGGTCCATTGCAAATGAATGGTTTGCAGAACACGGAAGACCTATTGGCATGCGAAGTGTTTACCGACGAATGAAAAGTTTTGGCTTGTTTTCATACCGGCCACTCTGGGTCCTCCCTTTAACTCGAGAACACCGACTTGAGTGGTGCAGACAACGGTCACTCTGGGATCAGGAATGGAACAGTATTGTCTTTAGTGATGAGTCTCGATTTTGTTTAGGCATGCACGATAGTCGTGCCAGGGTTAGAAGGCGACGTGGTTAAAGGAGGAATCCACAGTTTTTTGTTGAAAGACGTGGTCATCACACTGTTGGAGTTATGGTTTGGGGTGCTATAGCTTATGGTTCCAGGTCACCTTTAATCTTCATCAGAGGTAACATGAACGCGCAGCGTTATATCCACGAAGTTCTAGAACCCCATCTTTTACCCTATCTTGACACCCTGGCAGATCCAACTTTCCAACAAGATAATGCCCGACCACATGTTGCAAGAGTCACAATAGACTTCTTTCAACATAATGATGTCACATTGTTACCATGGCCACCAAGATCTCCCGACTTATCCCCAATTGAGCACGTGCGGGATATGATGGGTAGGAGATTGCTCAATTTGCAACGTCCTCCTCAGACTCTAGAAGCACTTCGAGAGGAGTTGGTGGTTGCCTGGAATGAGATAACACAGGAGGACATTGACCACCTGATCAGAAGCATGCCTAGGCGCGTTGGAGAATGCGTAGCACATCAGGGTGCATCCACACATTATTAAAGGTCAAAGGGCTTTAAAGCAGTGCAATCATTTTGAAATTTTTATCATTTACTTATTATGCTTCATTAAGTACTTATACAAAATTTTATTAAAATAAAACCATTTAAACTGGGCGTTCGGATTTATATGTCGGTATGAAAACAAGCCAAAACTTCTCATTCGTCGGTCAACACTTCGCATGCCAATAGGTCTTCCGTGTTCGGCAAACGATTCATTTGCAATGGACCTGGTAGTGGAGAAACGGTCCCTTAAGGCCAATAATCTTAGGCAGCGATCTTCACGGTCTGTTGTTCTACGGCGGCGTCCAGTGCCCCTTGCTCTTTGCGTACGGCCTTCTTGAAGCCATGCCTGACAACACCTAACCACAGTGTCTACACTTCTTTGCACTCTAACTGCAACTGCCCGAAAATAAAGTCCAGCTTCCCGAAGTCCCACTATACGGCCCCTATCAAACTCACTAAGTTGACGAAATCGTACAGGTCTCCGTACTCTAGGCATCGTAACCGATCGTAAAGGATGTCAAGAACCAAAATCCGCCAACGTTGATTCTTTACTGCGGCTGAAATATTTATTTTTAGAGCGTTAGTGAATTAAAAAAAAAGCAGTAAAAAAACCGGAATGTCCAACTGATAAGGCTGAAAATTTTTTCACTTGTTATTTACAGTAAGATAAATACATTCACCAACTTTTATTAAAATAAAACCATTTAAACTGGGTGTTCGGATTTATATGTCACTTAGTATACATGATTATTATAATAAATATGTCCTTTCAGTGCTATATTTGTTGAACGTAGCTTCAAGTTTTCTACTAAACGCACTTTTTTATGTACCTGCTTGAAGTTCGTAACTTCTCACTGCAAAAACAAACTTTACAACAAGCTTTTTTGGCAAAATCACCTACTTCATTTTTTGCAATTTCAAGACCCCCTGTGGTTGTATTCTTTCAAGCTGTTCGTCTCAAATCCTTGACTTAAACATTACGACAGACTAAAGACTGGCTTAGGTGATTATAGACAGCATGTATCAAACTTCAAAGGGTGTTTGAAAACCATTGGTATGGTGTATACATTTTGAAATATTTCTACCAGGTACTGCATGTAGGGGTGACTGCGTATCATGCATCCACATTTCTCATTTTTCATTGTGGTTATTCAATTATAAACATTTCGTAGGCATGTAACAAAAATTCTAAGCGTTATCCTTTGGAATTTTAGATGATTATTTTATTTTGGTGATATTCAAACAACCGCACACTAGATGAACATGTTTTTTGATAATAAATTGTTTATCAGCAAAACTACAGGTGAAACGTTATATAAAAAACTGAGCCGTAGTCCACAAGACCAATAAGGTCTCTTACAGTTTCTCTCGGATGGTTTTTCAAATTTTACTGATACCTAACTAACCAGCCAAAAATGCCCCCTGTTCAAGAAAAACTTGTATAGGTGGAATTATATTCTTGATTATTGACGATAAAAAAGTCTAGAGATACAAAAAATATTGCTTGTTTTTCATCAAAGCTTAAAGTTAGAAAAACCACTTTTCCACATGTACAAATATTTAAAAGATACGGATACAAATGGTCCACAGAAGAATAGTAGTGAATAAAATAATGTTCGAATGCGGTTACGCCATTAAACAATCTGCCAAAAAGCGTTCTTTTCCTCAAAAATTTAGCAACAGTAGCTGTTGAGCGTTTTCGAGAGCTTGAGCTTCAGAGGATCCTTTTTTTTTAAATAGGGGTAAGAAAGTGATGGTGGGGGGTTATAGCAGGTTGGGAGAGGGTCTATCGCAGCTTTTTGATATTACGCTTCCAACCCCCATAAGTCTACGCACCTATTAGGCATATTTCACACATTTGCGCTGAAATGTTAAAGAAATATTTTCTCTTCTGAAGACAAAACAAAGTGAACAGTCTTACGCTTAAGTTTTTTTCTGGGTTGTTCTTTACTGAGATTGTTCCCGACACATTGCTATCGCGCGGTCATCGAGTATACGAGGGGACTTGCATTTGTAGATATACCAGGGGTAATTTAATAGTATCTCCTCCTTGTCTATAGGGTAGATTAAGAGTTCTTCCGTTCTGCTAAGTGAGAACTGCAGTTTTTCTAGAGGTATACTTCCAACTACCGGTAGGGTCAGTCTGACTGACTTGATCCGTTCAATTTCTCTGCTGTACATGTTCGTAACTATTGTTTTTAAATTTGTACTGAACTTTATCCGTTATGAACAAGACGTTTTTTTTTTTCAGTAAGGCACAAGCGCATTTTCCGATCCTGTTGTCACCAAATATTTACCTCTCAGAATTTAATTGTTACAATTAGCATTACAATCTAAACTAATCAAGAATCATGATTTCAGGATTTAATTAAAAAGTAAAAAAAAACTTCAGATTTCTCTTAATAAACTCAGTGTGCCCCTAGCCCTTCATAGAAGGCCCTTATATTGAATTCCTCTACATCTCCTACAATTATTCTACGTACCACTTTTTGGCCAACAATTTTTAGTTTCAAAAATGATTTTTACTCCATCTTTTGATAAAAAAGCAACTCAGAATTTTTTTGTATCTCTAGATGGTATTTTGATTCGAAATCGAAAATATAATTTCGTTGTAAATCTCGTCTACATTGAGTCAGTTGGTCTAAAAAGGGTTAAAAAAGTGTTCCAAGGCAAGGCAATGATCAAAAAAAGTCCTATGTATACTAAGTGACGTATAAATCCGAACACCCAGTTCAAATTGTTTTATTTTAATAAAATTTTGTATAAGTACTTAATGAAGCATAATAAGTAAATGATAAAAATTTCAAAATGATTGCACTGCTTTAAAGCCCTTTGACCTTTAATAATGTGTGGATGCACCCTGATGTGCTACGCATTCTCCAACGCGCCTAGGCATGCTTCTGATCAGGTGGTCAATGTCCTCCTGTGGTATCTCATTCCAGGCAACCACCAACTCCTCTCGAAGTGCTTCTAGAGTCTGAAGAGGACGTTGCAAATTGAGCAATCTCCTACCCATCATATCCCACACGTGCTCAATTGGGGATAAGTCGGGAGATCTTGGTGGCCATGGTAACAATGTGACATCATTATGTTGAAAGAAGTCTATTGTGACTCTGGCATTATCTTGTTGGAAAGTTGGATCTGCCATGTTACCGCTATTGAAGACTAAAGGTGACCTGGAACCATAAGCTATAGCACCCCAAACCATAACTCCAACAGTGTGATGAACATGTCTTTCAA